GCTGCTGGGAGTCTGGGAGTCTGTGACCTGCTTAAAGGGATCTAGCAAAAAAATATTCAGTGATAAATCAGGACTTAGCAATGGGAAAAGCAGCTACGAGGTTGTTTTTTTTTCAAAGGCAGCTTAAGGGGAGAAACTTAAAAGATCTGAGTCATCATTTTGAAACGTGCATCAAACAAGTTAAATAACTCCTACTTTCTTAACGACATATTAATCAAAGTGCATTGATTCTTGAATCAGATTCTACGACCAACAAGCTTTCTATCTTCTCCATCCTGATGCATGCATTAAGAGAGTTTTATTCTGACAGATACAATATAGCAATCAATAAAATCTTATTATATGGAGCTGAGATACATGGATTTGTTGCAGGATTTATGCACTACTTTCAAACCCGGTGCTATTTCATGTCTCAGCCTTAACCTGTAATTGAAAATAAATCTCCCTGAATACACCAGATTCTAATTTTCTGGATGTATGGGCAAGTGTGAATGGAAGCTGGCCTTCCCTCGGGGAGAAGGCTGCTTTCTGACCGTATTGCTCGCCCTGCACACACCACTGGATTGCCAAATTCCTCCAGAAAACGTGGGCAAAAGGGCAGGGTACCATGCTCTGCAATGTCACCATGGACCCAAACCCCTGTCCCCTTCCTCATGCCCCCAAAGCTGCTTGATATCTGGTGATGGCTGCTTTTGGGGTGGAGGTAACACAACCTGGCACGTCCCATCCCAAAGCTGGGATGGGTGAATAAAGATCATGGAGAGGGATGGGCAGAGAAGCTGGGGTTTCTCTGCTGCTTTCCTCCAGCTCCTGGGCATTGCTCAGTGATTGCTCATAGAAGGATTTGGGTTGGAAGGGACCTTTAAAAGTCACCTGGTCCAACCCCCTGCCATCAGCATGTTCAACTCGATGGGGTTGCTCAGAGCCATGGTCAACCTGGCCTTGAATGTGTCCATGGATGGGGCATCTACCACCTCTCTGGGCAACCATTGCAAAAACCTCTTTCCTTCCTTATCCTCCTACCTGAAAAGAGGAGGCAGTGAGTATGGTTGGTCTCTTCTCCTGAGAAACAAGCATTGGGATGAGAGAAAATGGCCTCAAGTGGTGCCAGGGGAGGTTTAGATTGGATATGAGGAAAAATTTCTCCACTTAAAAGGTTATCAGGCGCTGGAAGAGAAGTGGTGGAGTCACCATCCCTGGGGGGATTTAAAATACGGGGAGATGAGGGGCTTAGGGACATGGCTTGTGGTTGAACTCAATGATCTTAAAGGTCTTTCCCAACCAAATGACTCCATGATTTTTATCTCCACTCTTCCTGCTCAGTGGCGCACGAGATTGCCCCTCACACAGCATGGTTTTGGTTGGAAAAGACCTTTATGATCACCGAGCCCAACCACCTCACCTCTCAGGGCAGCCGGGGTGGTTGGGCAGCGATGGGAGACAGACACCCGCAGGTGTTTCTCCTTGGGGTCTGTCTGGGTCCCTTCGCTGTGTGACAGCAGGTGGGTACCCAGCGGTCTCCCTGGAAATGGCCGGAGGGGACTTGCATCTGAGCAGCTCTGTCAACAGCGTTAATACAATAAAAAGAATCAAATCCACTCAAATGGAAATGAGGGAGAGACGGAGAGAGGCGCAAATCGGAGGGAATAAGGAGGACGGGCGCAGGACTCAATCACCAATGCAACGCCATGACGTTGGATGCTTCTCAAAAGAGCCACGATCTTGAATTTACCAAAAAGTCACTGCAGCATCACGCCTTTCTGTCTGCTTTTTGAATCCCTACACCACCATACACATGCATTTGTTCCTTCTCTAACTGCAGGCAGAAAACAGGCACATTTGCAGAGGGATATGCATGGGCTTCCCCCACAGTGCACCCATGGTGTTTGCCTCTCGTCCCAGGGTGGGTAAAATGCAGGCTTGCACCAAGTGCCTGCTTTCTCCATGGTGTCCCTAGAAATGTCTCCATGATTTCCCACTAGAAATGGAGTGAGGAGATATAGGAGGCAGTGCTGGTGGCCACTGTCTGCATCAGTATTTCTCCCTCCTATTCTGGAGGGAATGGCCATACCCAATGCTCGACATGGGGTTGTTTTCCTGGGGAAAACAGTTACAAGGGAGAAAAGGGGATTTTAATACAGGAGCTGTCAATCAGAAAGGAAAATTATTGCTGCCATCAATGTGTTGACTCTTTTTTTTGTTTGTTTCTATACTTTTGGGAAAAAACCCCATGATAACTCAATTTACACGTGCTTCCTTCACACTTGCTGAAAAACACTCTACAAAATGCTGCTATTTTCCTGGTTCTGGAAGCCACGTGGGTTTGGGGAGCATCACAACCATGCCCATGCCCATGCCCATGCCCATGCATACAGCTTCACCTTTAAAACACTGACCTAC